GAGTCAAAAAGGGAAGTCACTTCCTGGAGCTGTGTCTTTGTGCCAAGAGCCACTTCCTGGTTAAAAGCCACAGGATTTCAGGCCTGGGGTGTGGAAACAAGATGCAAACTCCCCACCAGGTAGGTGGAACTTGGAATTCAGAAGTATTCCCCACACCGTCTGCTGCTGTTTACACTCCACAGCTGCTCTATGTATCTGGCTAGTGAGGAGACATCAGAGTTGTATTTTGTTCTTGAAGGAGAAGCTGATACGGTAGACCCTTGACTTATGAAACTCAATTCTTTCTCAAGAGCCGGTTGTAACTCAAGTTGGTCAATTGAAGGCTCAGCCCCTCTACACAGCCTTCAAAGTCTCTCCTGTACACAGGCAGATCTCAGTGTCCTTAGAGAGACCCTGGCCCAGGATTTCTCAGTTAACCCCACACAGGAAAGGATGTTGTCATGTTCCTTCCAGAACTCTTTAAGGGTTAAATGTGTATCTGAGACCATGTGGAAGCACAAGTGGCTGGCATTCGGGTCACAACTCAAGACTGGTCGTAAGTTAAAACTAAAATTTCGGTGGTAACCCAAGTTGTTCGTATGTCAGTGTGGTCATAACTCAAGGGTCTACTGTAACTAGAGATCCGGTGCTGTTAGATTTAATATTGAGGAGATCTTTTTGGTATTTTTTAGCTGATATATTTTCAAACAGTCAGAACAGTTCCATGACTACTACAAGAAATTCTCTTGTAGGGTTTTTCTATGACTTAGGAATTCTTAAAATTTTGTCCCATTTTCTCTATCATCTTTCTCTATATAGATGATAGATAAACACATATAATTTTTTCCCAAATCACTGAAGACTAAGTTGGAGACATTATGTCCATTTATCAGGCACTACTTCACTGTGTATTTGCTAAGAACAGAATATATTCTTCTACATACTCAAGTGCAATTATCAAAGTAACAGTATTGACGTACCATTAGCTAATCCACAGTCTATATCCAAATTTTCTCAATTATTTAATGCCTTGTATAGCTTTAGGATCCACTTCAGAATCGTGCATTTCATTTAGTTGCTAGGTCTCTTTAGTCTCCTTAATCAGGAGCAGTTTCTTTGCCCTTTATTTGTCTTTCTTGACTTTTTGAAGAATTCAGATCCACTATTCTTAGAATACCCTTCATGCTTAGATTCTGTTATAAACTTTTGGCAGGGATGCCACGGAAGTGCTGTGGTATTCAATGAATCATTCAATCATACCAGGGGTCCTGCAATGAATCATAGCAGGCTTCTCTAGAAGTCAATTTGCCCAAATATTGTTGATGTTAACTTGCAACTCGGTTAAGGGAGCATCCCTTGTGTTCAGCCTTCAAAACCTGACAGAGTTTCTGCCCTAAAACTGGTTAAAGCGTCTCAGTGGTGCTTGCTCTTGTTAAACTTCTTTCTCTTGCTGTGTTTGGGTTGGTGGTGGGTCTGACCTAATGTCTGGAGAAGGCATTATTTGCATTCTGCCCAGAAACCAAAGAAGCCTTGGTTATTCTGCTGCTGCTTGCTATTCCGGGCTAAGAGCCATGCAGATGCTGGGTGGCAGTGAGCCTGTCCCCACCACAGCCCGGCCACCACCAATCACCGTGCGTGCCTGTGGTACTTGGAAGAGTGGGGACTGACCAGCTCTGTGGGTGGGAAGAGAGAGACTTGCTGGATGAGAGGGCAGGCATGTTTCATGGGAAAAAGTCTGCCCTGGGCCTTTTTTTCTGACTCATGAAATAGCCGAGTGGGAAAACCTTTTGTGAAGACAAATTACAGCTGAAGAGCAATTCCAAGGAGTTCAGTTGTCTGCACTAAGGCAGGTCCTGGCTGAACGTGGTTTCTTTGCACTGAGCATCTCTGCTCTTGGTACCAACTTCCAAAGCTACCGAGGGGGACTAGGAAACTAATATGGATAGCACTGAGCCTGCACCGGGTGCAAATCTTGAGTTTTATTTGCCCCACCAGTTTAAAACACTTAGGGGATAGATTATGGATTAATCCTTCATTTTGATTTACTAGTCTCACTCTTTAAATAGCCTCATTTTAGAGGCTCGAGGGCCCCACCTCTACATTCCAATGGAAGATCCTAGACAGTAGATTGCAATCTTGAGGGTGTGTGTGTGTGGGGGGGGGGGTTTCCTTTACAGTAGAATCCAGATCCTCCAGAAAGAAAAACAAAGAAATCAACACAGGGCAAGTACAGTGGAAAGTGCCCCAGGTAGTGCAGTAGTTGCTCAAGAGTGGTCAGAAGTTGCCTGAAATGCATCAAAATCCTCTGAGGCATTCATCATTTTTCATCGACAGCAACCCACATTACGTCTGCTTTTTGCTCTTGATTCAATCCACTCCCACTATGAACCAATGTCTAATGTTTGACATGTTTACAAAGGCTGATAGAAATACGCCCTTGGTTGGTTTGACACGTGGGTTTTCCTATGATGCTTTCTTTTCTATGGTTGCCTTTTTTCTCTGCTCAGGATTTGTACTTCATTTCCCATTTCACATGTTTCTTCCCTCCGTATGTTCTCATTACAATTTCCACACAACCTTAAATATCACGTAGCTTCTCCTATGTGAGAAACTTGAAGTTTAAATAATTTATAAAACAAAATAAAAGCTAGACAATGGGAAATGGGGAGATAGATCCTTTGCAAATGGGAAGGAGATCTAGAGATGGAAAGAAGAGGAGACAGAAAGGAGAATTCAAAGAATTAACACACATTAAATACCTCTGCCGACTCCTAAGATCAGTGTAAACTTTACATACTGTACATACGTACTAATAAAGCAATTTCTTATTCTTTCCACTCATCTGCTGGGAGAGAAAGACAGCGGCTCTTTCTCATCTGTGGCTGAACTTTTTATTCTTTCAGCTCTCTGCATCCAATTGCAGTCTGAAAACATTGCATGGAAAATTCTGGAAATTGGGAATTCATCAGTTTTAATTGTACACCATTCTGAGTGGCATGATGGAATCAGATGCCATCCACCTTCCAGGGACACAAGTCCAGTGTGTCCAAGGGATGACTCGGACACGGGCTACCTGCCAGCTCCTCACTGAGGTGAGCAGATCAGCTGTCAGGATATCAACCATGGGCTTGTGCTCAAGTCACCCCGATTTCCCTTCATAATGGCCCAGGGCACAAGAGGAGTGATAATGACAATTAAAACAGGCCAAAGAGAAGTTATAAAGTGTTTCCCTTAATTGAAAAGGAGAAATATCTCAATATAATGCAGAAAGGAAAAATCACATGCTGAGGTTGCTAAGATCTATGGTAAGAACAAATCTTAATAAAGTCAGTATATATAGGGTTTGGTACTATGCCTGATTCCAGGCATCCACTGGCGGTCATGGGCTGTGTCCCCATGGATAAGGGGGGACCGCTGTGTGCTTGAGACAAGGCTGCAGTGATTCCTGTCCTTCTCTGTTTGCAGAGGCTGCTGAGCTCCGAGCAACTCCGCGAGGCTGTGGCTGGGGCCGGCAGCAGACTTGGCTGTGGTGTTCATCTCAAAGGGCCTCCCCAAAGCCTCATGTGCTTGGACATTGGGATTTGGAAGGTAATTGGATCATGGGGTGCTACACTCATCAGTGGATTGACCCACCGAAGGGTTCAAACCTGGCTGTGCTGTCAGAGGTGGGGACTGGGCTCCTCCTCTCTCTCTGCTTCCTGGAAGCCATTGTGTGTACTGTTTTCCTTTGCCAGATCCTTCCACCATGCCCTTCTTGGCTTGTAGCCAGCTGACCATGGCCTGAAAACATTAGCCAAAGTAAACCCTCCTGCTTTAAGTCGTGCATGTCAGGTATTTTGTCCCAGCAATGAGAAAGGGACTAAGACAGCAAGGGAGGCTGGGCCTTGCTCCTTCCTGGATCGCCCTCACAGCTCCCAGGGCCAGGTCCCTCCAGAGCGCTCCCTCTGAGGTGGGTCTGCCTGGCAGGACTCCTGAGGCCCTAATGAGAGAACAGCTCATGGAAAGTGCACAGGAAGAGATGGTGAGTGGGTTTGATTCTGTCAGAACTCGTCCTCATCTTCCAGTCTCTATGTAGCTCTCCCGTGTCCCACTTTTGCCTAAAGTGCCTCTGCTGTCACTTTTTTTCTCTTTATATTTAGAATGATAGGTTCAGAGTGCTCTGAAGTTAAAATGGGCCTTCGAGTTTATCTAGCCCAGCTCTCTATTTTAACAGGTGAGGAAATCAGCACCTACAGCGGGGACGAGAACACGGAATAGAGTAACAGAAAAGGTGTGAGGGGTGAAGAGAGGACAGGTTTGCACCTCTGGCTCCATTCACATCATGGCTTTTCGTTTCCCATCTGTAAAGTAGGAACAACAATATTGGTCGTGTGAATATTGGAGGATTAAACGAGATGACACCTGGAGACTGGTACTTCGTGGGTGCTTAAGAACTACTTCCTGTCTCTTTTTGCAGCACCTTCTCGAGCCTCACCCTCGAGTCCCTTGTTCTCTCCCCAGTGCTTTTCTCTTAAGAAACTCTCCAAGGAAGTGCCTTGTCTGTCCTGTTGCTCTCTGCCACCTGGTCCTGTCTTCCTGCCAGTTTCCGCTCCTGGCGAATCCACAGTCCCACGCAGAGCTCCCCGCAGGCCTCCACCCGCCAGGCTACTCTCTGTCAGAGGCAACTTCTAGAAGCATTTCTGATCCTCGCAGCCCCCAGGCTCCACCGCACCTGGAGCTCTCAGCCGACTTCCCATACTCCGCCTGGGTCTGCTCTGCGCGCACAGTCCAGCGCATGCGTCACCGCTTCTGCGCTAGACCGGAAGATCCCCGAGAGCTGGAACCACCTATGTATTATTTAGCTCTTACTCTCTCCCAGGTCTCATTACAGAGTAGATGCACTGTAAATATTGATTGGTAGGTTAATGGACTCCTATTACCTTTTTCTCCAAGATGCCTCTCCTTCAGCTTCTTTGTAAGAGAATATAAATTAACCCGGGTTGAGTGTTTGGTTGCAGAGCTGGTAGAAGGCACCGAGTAGCGGTCTGCGAACACGCTGCCTCAGCAAGGTGTGGCGGGCACACCTCCGCCTGCGTGCTTCGGCTCCTGTGCTTGCATCCGGGAGCACCGAAGTCTGAGTCTGTGATGATGGTCTCCGCGGTTCCCTCTTGGTACACAAAACCACTCCGTATTTACCGGTGGGCTATCTCCGAGCTACATCCGTTGGAGCTGCAAAGGCCCTGTTAGGTTGCCCAAGCTGTCCCGATGAGGGGCTGGCTGTTCGTAATGGGGACCGCTTTGCAGCCCTTCACCCTTTCCCTCGAAGCCCTTCAGACTGAGTTTATAAATGGGGTTTTAAACTGGATCACCTCAAGATGAATTTCTGTGCTCAGCCAGATGTTGGCAATGCATTATTTGGGTTGTGTAAAATGGGAGTTTAGTGAGGTTAATTTCTCCCTCCTCCCCACCTTAGGCTAATTATTGGAGAAAGTATTTGCAGGCCTGGAACTTCTCATAATTCATCCTGCCTTCTGTTTCTTTACAGCAAGGCCTCATAAATCTCTGTTTCTGATGACATAATCGGTTACTGAGGAATGCGGTGGTACTGCCTGCCAGCTGAGTCACAGCTTCATACAGCTGAACCACAAGGGGTTCATTCAGAGAGACGCCCCTCTCCCCTTTCTTCTTTGACTACCAGAGTTGGAGTGTCCAAGCCTTTTCATGAGCAAGGGTGACCACAGCATGTCGTATTAGGAGAACTTGATGTGTACTTGAAGCCACAAACTTTCCAAACTTCATGCGGAAATGGAAGATGAGCCAGGTGCTTCCACATCTACTGTCTATTAGAATTACAGCATTCGGAAGTGTCAAATCCTCTTGCTCCTTGGAGATCACTTACCTTTGAAATACACTCAAATGGAATATAATCTTCCATTCCTAATTTCTGCTTTCTTCCCCTCTTTGTGATGTCTGTGAATTTGCGTATCTATAACATACGTCTATATTATGCATTTGAAAAATGTATATAAAGAAACCGAGAGTAGTGACACGTTAGACCTCTAAGAATGCCTGAAACATTGAATCCAACCCCTAATTTTAGAGACAGAGGCGCAGAGGCCCCAGTCGGTCCATTTATTGAAAGCAGAGGTCCTGTCACTGAGGGCGTCAGGTGTAGGCTCAGACCCGCCCTGCCTCGCCCCTTCCCTACCCAAATGACCAGTGTATACCTTAGCTCCGAATCACGCGGGGAGATATCCAGTTCATCCTGGCACACTCCCATCAGTGCTTACAAGAGTTCTAGTATTAGAAAACAGTATTCGCATTTCAAACTCAGGAAATGGAAGTGAAATTGGAAAGTATTTAAATTCACTAGAACACTGAAGAGGTTTTAATGTCACCAACCTCATTTTTTAAAATAAGGAAGTTGACCAGATGATCTCTAGGTTTTCTCCAACTGAAAGACTCAAGAATTCTAAGCCTTGCTAAGTATATTCTGTGACACTTGATCTTTTCCTCTCCTGAAATAGTGCTTCTGAACAATCCTAAAGTTTTCTTTTCCACGAACACGAGCTGGAGCTATTAATAATTGCCAAGCAGTGCTGACAGTAAATAAGATAATACACATAAAGCACATTTAATTCCTTGAATAAAATAGGATGTGAAAATGCACAGTAAACTACTTACAGGAGCTCAAAAATAGCAAATAACTATGGAATATAATAGTCCCTAGATTGAGTGTGTGTGGGTAATTATTTGTTTGGTGGATTATTTCTAGCAAATGTTCAGGTTTAGTTTGAGTCCTCTGTCCCTCAGAATGATGGGGATCCAAAGTGAACTCAAGGACACACTAGTCACTTTTAATATTTTTTAAAAGTTTATTATTAAAAATGTGAGGGGCCAGGGATTTAACTCAGTGGCACTGGGCCTGCCTCGCAAATGCAAGGTCCTGAGTTCCATCCCTGGTACAAAAAACAAAAAACAAAACAAAAAAACCCACTAAAAATGTGATCTGTATTTCTTTGGCAGGAAATTCCAGCATACTCCAGAATTATACTGCTATTTTACTTGCTGATTTAAGTTACTTACATAACTATCTCTCCATTTTTACAAAACTTTTTTTTTCTTTTTCTTTTTCCCAGTACCAGGGATGGAACTCAGGACCTTGTGCTTGCATAGTCATGGTGCCACTGAGCTAAATCTTTGTATTTTTACAAAACTTAAAAAATGTTTCCATGTGTTAAAACTATTTTCCCCTTTATCTTCTCATATGCAAATATATCTTTAAAGACTCTTCAAATTGATTCTCCATCTTCAATGAACTGGCAACTGCTCAGTCATGACAGCTATTAATAGACATGTAAGTCGCCACCATGGCTGAGGCTAAAGAACACATGCTAAATCTGACTCAGCATATAGCCAATGGATTGCTTCAAACTTGTAAATCCACTGTGGAGCACAGACAGCTAATGGCAATGGATAAGGCTCGCTTTGGGAAGGTACTTTCCCTGCCAGCACAACAAGGTGATTGTGACAGAATAGGAAATTCCTTGTCAGAAACAGGAGGAAAAGTATGTGTATGGATTTTTGTCTGTGTGGGAAAGCCTGGTCTCACAATAATAGTATCTCCACTTTATTTCTTACCTTTACCATGTCTTCTTGCCTACCTAAGGGAGTTAAAGAAATATTGCATTAGGAATGAAAGCCTAAAGACAATACTTAATTCTACACCAAACAAACTGAAGCTTTTCTAGAGTAATTAACCAGATCTGAAGAAACCATGTTGTTTTTGTTTGTTTGTTTGTTTCCTATACCAGGATTCAAACTGAAGACCTTGTGCTTGCAAGGCAGGCATGGTGCCACTGAGCAAAATCCCCAGCCCTGAAACCATTGTTGCCTAAGGAATAGTTAGGGAAATAGGAGGTGTGTGGACTGCAGAGAATAGGGGTACACCACATGTCTTCAAATACCTGAAGCATTGTCAAGCGGAAGAATGACTTCTTTCCATGCAGCTCGTAGGGACATTGAAGGACAGGGTTTAGCTCATTATTATAAGGAGATATGTTCTAAGGACCACAAGACGGGAACATTCAGTGCCCTGGGAGCCCCTAGCTATGGAGGAGTTTGGGCCCGATGTGGGTGACCACAGGCCTGAGAGGCCAATCCTGGCAGATGGTTGGACTGTAGGACCCTCAAAAGTGCTCCCAGCTCAGCATGATTTTAAGGGAGTGACTCTGGTTAAATTGTTGTCTGGGTCTTCATTTTCTCATATTGCGAAATGGCAGATTTAGGCTAACTCAGCAATCATCAAGCTTTTTTTTTTCCACAATAGTAAGCCCCCTTTACCATCCTCACCCCTAAATAAATCTTACATAGAACTCCAACAGAAAAAAGGATAGAGGGAAGCATCTGTCTCTAGAAAGGGGAATTGAAAGTCCTGAGCCCTTCCCGCTCAGCCTCCAACTTCCACACACTGTCTTCTTCCCCTTGGGCAGCTCTGAGGACCTCTGTAGAATCTTGGAATTATAGTCTGGAAACCACAAGATTAAATGCTCCTTGATACTCCTAGGGGATCTACATGTGTATGGTTGACATATAATTCTACAGCTATTCTGCAGCCAGATTAATAGCTCTGAAATTTTCTTTTACAATCTTTTTCAGGCTTGAGGTTTTCAGAAAGGAAACTGGGTCACATTGTGGTTAAGATGACGGACTTTAGAACCAGGAAATGGTGAGTTCAAATCTCAGTTCTGCATCTTATTAGTTTTCTGATCCTGGACAACTTGTTCAAACTCTCTATGGCTCGGGTTGTACATGCAGAACAAATACCTCCACTTCGTGGAATTTGGAGCAGGATTAAAATGATCATCTCTCAAAAGCTTATATTATTTTTGAAATGTAAAATAAGCACTCAACAAGGTGCTTGTTTTATTAATTAAAAAGACCAAATTAAATGAAACTAAACAGATTCTCACACACAGGGACAATTTTTTATTGCTGATAGTAAAGAGCAGAAGCCAAAGATTTTGTAAGTGCTTTCCAAAACTTGGTGGAAGTCCCTCGAGGGGAAGAAATTTGATGACAGTGACATCAATCCCCATGGTCCCTACTGACCCTCTGTGTGGCCGTAAAACAAGTCCTTGGCCACTACAGGACATTTTTCCATGAATAAAATGAAACTGCAGACTAAAAGGTGCCATCAAGAAGAGTGGGTTTCAGTTTATGAAAAAGAGTGGGCACTTTAGGGACTTTTCCAAAGGCCCAATGCTTTCTTGGTAAAAATCTCAGTTATCTCTTACAACCTTGCCAAAAGTTCATATTCCTGTGTTTCTTTTCTGTCTAGGGATCATCTGTTTTTTTCCCCTAAAGTGGAAGTATGTTTGTTCAGCAGACATTTCCTGCACACTTACTCTGGATAGAGTAAGAGTTTGAGAGGAAAACAAGGAACTAGAATATCATAGCTCTATGGAACTTAAGGTTGAATTTAGAGGCTGGCTGCCTCCACTAGAGGTTCTTTGAAGAGGATCTGTGTGGTCCTGCCTGGCCCTGCCACCCGTCCTTCTTGCCTGCTTACTTCTCTTTGATTCCCTACTTTGCTAGTGCCTGGAGCTCTCTTGCCCCCCTGTATGCATCTAAAGTCCCCTTGATATTAGCCTATCTGGGGACAACCTATGAGGTCCCAGGTTCCACACTAGCTGTCTTGTCCCCCTGCCCATATCTCCAATAACAATTCTCATTTCTTACACCTGATCCCTAATACTTGAAGAAATTAGTCTAATAGGTGAATACGTTGAATAAGATTAATAAGCTTACTTCTCCCCCTTCCCACCTATCATTTGGGAAAGATTTGTATTTTACATCATTTCAATAAATTAAATTAACTAGACTGAAATACTCTGTCATTGATGGACTATGTAAGAAAGATACACATAGCATTCCAACCTGAAAGTGTGCTGACCTTCCTTCTGAATTGTGGAAGCACACTCCAATACAAACAAATTTAACAGTGCTATAAGGGAGCATACCCACAAACTGAAGGAAGCCTGAACTGCTTCCTGAAACTTATTAAGGGCAAGCAGGACACAGGGGAACAAGGCGAGGACTCAAGTCTCTTTAGAGAGATTTCTTTGTTGTAAGTGTGCTTTCATTTGAGTTTTGAAGGAGGTAATAGGCAAACTTGATCTCTTTTTTTTCCTTTCTTCCTATAAGTTTTAAAAGAAGGAAGAAGACACAGATATAGATTAGGAGAGCCTGCCTAAGGATAATACCAAAGGTAAGCGTGCTCAGGGGTTTAAAATACTTGCTGGAAGCTATTTACTGACTGGTTACTAGGAGACAGCATGACTCATTGCTTACTTCTCCTCCGTGGCCAACTTTCAGTCATTTATCACACTGGATCAAGACTGACAGAATCTTTAGAAAAAATTATGGAGTGCTCTATTCTAGTAAGAAGGCACTAAACTCTGGAAACAAAATGATCTCCAAAGATGAAGACTACTGACAGAGAGCATCCTACACGTGTCCTGGATGTACTAATAGTCCAAGGATTTACCAGTGAGTTTTATAGATATATATAATAGATATATATGATAAAATGTAAGCAACATATATATCTAAAAATTCTGCTAGGCAGCATGGAAACCAACGTGAATCATGAGCACCGTATCTTCCCTATGTGGCTTTCCCCAAATTTCTGAATGAATACATTTAGGATATAATTCAGTGTTTCTAATTTCCACAGAATGAGACTTTTAAATCTTCCTTTAATAATCTTTCTAAAGATTTAAATGACTGGAATATTAGACCAGACCAGGGGGTTTTCCAAGACAATTTCTAAATTAGCGTAAAATTATAAGACATATTAAAAAGCACTGCAGGCTGAACTGACATACTGGGAAAAATTAGTACATCATCCGCCCAACACATGTGCATCAACTATAATGTACAGTTTACTGGGAATTTTAGTTAAGAATGTTTTCATGTATTTCCATAACAATGTCAGTATTTCTAGAGATAAACTTTAGATAATGCGAGCTTTGCCAGAGAGGGCAAGTGAATGTTATTAAACATGGAAAGATGGTGACTCGATGTTGGTGGGGTTGTGTTTGCATGTGAGTGTGAGAACGACAGCCAGCAGATGTGCAAAGAAGTGAAGGGCAGTGGGACAGGAGCATGTTTTGTAGCATGTACTTAAGTTTTCACTCTGTTTTCTGCCTTGACCTTCACTATCCAAGAGGATATCAAGGTCTGCCCTGCTGGGGATTTGTGGCAGGGTTGTTCCCTGCAAAAATTGTCCAATGTTGAGAAGAGAAGCGGCTCAGAAGAATTCAGAGTGCACATCTCATGGGAAGAGAGAGAGAAGGGGAGGGTAAGAGGGGCGGGAGGGAGAGGAATGACCTACAGTGCCCAGGCCCAACACTAGGAGGATCTGCTCCTGCTCCGCGGTAGCGTGGGGAGGCCAAGGAGAGCCTCGCCGCGGAGGCAGAGCCTCCAGACTCAAGGCCCAAGCTTGGTTTAGAAGCTACAGAGCAGAGATCCTCGTGTGGGCTGGGACAATGCGCCAGTCAGTAGCCACCAGGCATGGTGCCTACCCAGTCCCTTGAGACGCTGGTCAGATCCCCCAGATCTCCTCAAACCTGCTGCACGGATGGGGAGGAAGCCCCTTCAAGAAGAGCTAAGCTTTTATTTCCTCCAGCCCAGGGGGAGAAGGGCTTAGGGATGATAGAGCATTGATTTATGAAAAATAAACCACCTGAGTTTATAGACCAAGATTTATACCTGCCACAACAGTATAAATCTTTTTATCCTGGAGAGCACATGTTGCTGAGACAGATTACTTGGGTTTGGATTTCACACCACTAACTAGCCATGTGTGACCCTAGCAAGTTTTTTCACCTCTCTGACCTCAATGTCTTCATCTGTAAAACTGAGATGAATACTACTATTAATTTCATATGGCTGTTGTAAGTATGAGATGAGATATTCTGTTTCTTTGACACAGGGCAAAGACTTGGTCATTATCAACAATTATAATCATTATTATTTTTTTCTAAATGTAAGAGTCATTATCTAAATATAAAAAGAGTTCTATTTCTTAAAAAAAGGTTCCCATTGACATCTATCTTTTTTTTTTTTTTGCTTAAATTCTTTTATTGGTACATTTTAGGTATACCATATGTTTACATTTATCATTGGGTGCTTGTACCTGTACATGATGTATCTTGGTTCTT